CACTAGATAGAACAACACCTAAAATAGCAGCAGAATTGGCCCTCCTTGGTGGTGCAGCAGGTTAAAGCACAGCGCTGAGAATCTAAAGCCACTTCCACATGAGTTCGATTCCCGCCTGCCCGGGAGGTGACCACATGGCTGGCAGACCTCTCCTGACCCGCCCGCTGCTCCCCTCAGCAGTGTACTTCGTCGATCTGCCTGTTCTGTTCCCCACTCTGTCTCTGGTGAATCCTCTCGCTGCCCCTGAGCCTCTGGCCTGTACCCCAGTTCTGTATGCACAAATAAATAAATCTTTAAAAAAAAAATAGCAGCAGAATAACATGGATAGATCCGGAGAAGAAAGGGCACACCATGGCCGCAGCCACAGCTGGATGCTGAACGTGACTCTTTAAGAATAGCCATGCAGCGGACTCAGGGACTAAGGCCTAGGTTCTTCTCTCTCTTTTTGTGATATTCCACCAGTGAGGCAGTTTCCGCCTTAAATATGCTCTTCCTTCCCCATGTGTGTCATGTGACTTTGTGTGTGCCTAGTGTGTGTTTGAGTGTGTGTTTGTGTGTATGTGTTAGAGGTTTTGATCTCTCTCCCTATTTTTTAGTTTATTACAGTCAGTTAAATAGAAAGAGAGGGAAAAGTATATGTAGAGATGGCTATATGGCACTTCTGGCAAAGTTTCAGACACAGTAGACACATTTCAAGGAACAAGGGAATATACCTCTTGAAAATATACGTGAAGCAGTTCCTGATGGATAGAGTATAACAGTAATTTTCTTTAGGATGTTATGAAGTCATCTTGCATACCTAGTGTACTTGTACCTCAGCTTCTCAGTTGAATATCTTTATTTCTAAAGACTGACAACATCGTCATTGACAATGATCAGTTGTTCAAAAGGCAAGGAATCTCCTTTGCTTATTCTAAATTAAGCCAAAGAAGTCCTGAATAATTGTTTATTCAATGAGTTTATGTAACAGTATATACTATTAATTTTTAAACAATTTATTGATTCCATACAGTAGTGTATATTGGTTCAAAAAGTAGCATTTATTTAAAATTACATGTTTTATATTTTTCATATGAAAAATGAAAGCTTTATGTAATACATATAGTAATATAAAATAAATTGGTTAGGCATATGTATAGCTTTGGCTGTAACAACTTTTTGTGCCTTTTTTCAGTTTTATTGACAAATAATTTTTATATATCATTTGGTAAGTTTAACGTATACAGCACAATAGTTTGATTTATATGTACGGTGAACTTATTATTCAGTTTAACATCAATCTTCTCAGATACAAAAAAAAGATGAAAAAAGGAAAAAAAAATCTTCTGATATGAACTCTCAGGACTTTCTATATATCACAGAGTAATATTAGCTGTCATCATATTATTGTACATTTGTCCCTAGTGATTATTACAACTGGAAGTCTCTTTTCGACTCCCTTTCCCCACAACCTCCTTTCCCTATCCTTTGCCTCTGGTAACCATTCTTAAGTTTGATCTCTCTTTCTATAAGCCTTGTCAAAAGCGAAATAATAAGTATTTGTCTTTCTCTGTCTAACTTATTTCACTTAGCATAATTCCTTTAGATCTATTGATATTGTCCCAAATAGTAGGATTTTTCATTTTTCATAATTGACTATTTCATTGTGTACACATTAGAATATATGCATCCTGTGGGGGTACATGTAAAAATATATCTACACACACACACACACACACACGTTAAACTTTTTGTCCATTTACGGATATTTAGGATGTTTCCATGTCTTGACAGTTGTAAATAATGAATGTTGGAGTATAGGTATCTTTTTTCTTCAAAAGTTTGTGTTTTTGTTTCCTTTGAATATATTCCCAATTCCCAGGAATTGCTGGATCACTTGGTAGTGTTTTTGAAAAAAAATTTTAAAAGTCCCATATCAGATGTATCAATTTACAACCTCACCCGTGGTGTACCAGGGTTCTCTTAACATATACTACTGAGGATATTGATATGATGGATTTTACAGACTAATGGAAAAGCAAAAAAACAGGCAGTGGCACCTCTCAGTGGCAAATATTGTTTTGGGGAGGTGAAAGGAAGAAGACCACCGCAGTAGAGGGATTTACCCAATAATGGGGAATGAGGAAGGCTCTGAGAGGAAGTGAGATCCCAAGTTGTATCCTGAAAGGAGAAGAGGAACTAACCAAAAATTGAATGTGCCAAGACATGGGAATGAAAAATCATGACCCTGTAACCAGAAACTCTGAGTGGCTCAAAATGCCTTGATGGAAGCTCACTAACTAGAACCCAAGGTGGAAAGTTATGTGGGGCCGAACCGGGCAGGCTCTTCAGAATCACTTGGGCTGAACCAGGCAGGCTCTTCAGAATCACTTGGAATTACGTTGGGTGACCCATTTTATATACAGACCTTATAGTCAGCCTTCTTTGTCTTCTGCTATCATAGATATTGCAACAACCTAAGAACTGTTGTCTTCTTGTCACAAGTAAATAGGAGCTTTCAAGAACAGGCATATGTGTAAGAAAAGCATTAACCTAGAAGACTTGTTTATAAGGTTGGTCTTGGTCTGACTTTTAGGAACTGTGGGAAATACTAAATTCCTACATTTGATGTAAACTTTTACTTAAAGATCAGGCTGACTCCCTGTGTCTAAGTTGTATACATAATATCATTATGCTGAAAGTCTGCTTTCTGCGTCTGGAATTTTGATACATGCTTGCCAGAGGAGCATATATGACTAGCCCCCAATAAAAAAATAAATAGATAAATAGTTTTTAGTGTTATATCTCTAGTGTGCATCCCTAGGCAGAAATACATACACACATATTCCTGTATTTTCATAGGTGGGGTGAGTATTCTCTGTGTAACCCATCTTGAGATGGAGAGAAAGCTGCACATAATTCCTCCAGATCCTAGCTGTCTTTCCCCTCAGGATCCACTGTATATCCTTCCTACGTCACTGTAAGAAATCTCAGCTGTGAGTGCAATTATATGCAAAGTCCCATTAGACCTTCTAGCAAATCTCCTAATATATGGGGGGTCCTGGGGCTCTTCAATATACATACTGTGAATATCTATAAATATTTGTAGAATGAAAAAAAAATCAACCCATCAAGAAGTTCAAGTATTAATGTCCTTATTCTGTGCTTGTATAATGATTTTTTTTTTAACCCAAGCTTGTTTAACCCAGTTTGCTCTCTCACAATAGTTCTCAAACTTGGCTTTGATTCCTTTTGACTTTACCTTCAAATGACAGAGATGTGTTAGAGCTACTAGCCTAAGGCAGTTTCAAATCATGCGACCCAGAAAGAATTTGAATAATGGCAAAAGTCCTTGGAATGTTTATCATGTTCCAAGGTGACTTTTTCTTTTATCAGATGAGGACTTACTTGATTGTATAGTTTCTAGTAAACTGAAAAGTCCATCACATTATTGAAACACTTTACCCTGATACAAACAGTCCCTCTTATCACATTAAAAATGCATTCATATGTGTAACAGCCACGGACTAGGTTTTTTATATAATGTATGTTAGAAAAATTCTATTCAAGGTTTACTGTAAAGAAGTTTCTTTTTAGAAAAAGAAAAATACCGGATGGTTTCACTCATAGCAGGGAGTGTAAGGGATCAGAAAAAAAAAAAGTAATTGTAATAAAGTAAAAATGAAAATTAACAAACAACTATAAACCAGAAACATTCTACAGGGGAGGAGAGGGGAGTAGGATCAAAACTGGGGTGGGAAGAGCACGCAGGACTGTGGTGATGGCACATGGGTGAATTGGTGGTGGGAAGGCCATGGGGATTAGATTACAGCCAAGGTGAAAAAATGTACAAAATGAAGAATGATGTAAAAGAAATAGTTATATATATATATATATATATATATATGTATATATTAAACAAAAAGAATTTTCTCTTAAAAAATTAAAGCAAATTCCTGATTTTTAAATGAGCTTCAGATCCTGCTTGAGGAAGCTAAAACCCACCAGGAAATCTTGGATTTCTTAGGGTCTTCATCTTCACTTTTATAAAAATTTCTGGGAGTTCTATCCTTCCTGACTGACTAGCAGTGGGGTGTCTCTGCTGGACAGTCCCTTTGGCAGGTTTTATAATGCCTTTCTATCATCTTTGGCTTACTCTGGGGTAAGGTATAATCTTAAAAATGATGACTCTCCTGCTCCCTGCTTTCTTTTTGCCTTGTAGCCCTTCATAATAGCCTTTTTCTGGGATCCAGCTGATAAAGAGCATTAGTTCTTAAGCATGGTTGGGCTTAGTTGTGATCTTTATTTCTTGTCTAATTGGAAATTTAGTTTATAAATGGGCTTCATTATAGATGGTTCTTGGACTTGTTAGTATTCAGCAACACAGCTGTGTTCCAAGAATGTGCCATTTTATTAGAGTAATCTTCTTCATAAACTATTTGCATTGTTTTATTGCTTTCCCATTGTTTATTTTTCTCTTTTCCCCTCTCATCATGTTGGCTGACTCCTCCCCTCAGAGGGCCAAAAGTATTTATTTTAATACTTACTGCTCTTGCAGGATGTTTTACATTTCATGTTCATAATTTGAAAAGCAAATGAAATCTCTGTACTGTATTTTTCTGTTTATAATAAATTCATGGAACCATGGGCCTTACTAAGTGGATCTAAATTCTTAGCAGGAAAATGACTTTCTTTGACATGGTTTAATTCTGATGGTCCATTGGCTTGAATGAAATAAGCATTTTCTATGGCTGATGTAAGTCTACTTAGAATAGGTTTGACCTCAGCCAAAGTTCATTCTAATTAAATGCGGGTCATTCTTGTAGGACCTTGTATTTAGAGTACCTGCTTAATGGAGTGTATTGCAAAATTCACTAGTGTTTATGTCATTATGATTTAGAGGAAAAGTTCTTGAAGCTGTTCGTAGTAGTACCATATCCTGCTACTCTTAATTTTTTCTTTTCAAGAGTGTGTCATCATTACATCATTTACAGTGTGAACTTGGATGTTTTCTTTTCTAGTTTTCCAGAGAGGTGGTCTTTCAGAGCCTACACATCTGTTCTGTATTTTGAGCCCTGGATGAGAATATTCATTCAGGCGAAAAGAGTTCAGACAAAACACCTGTGTTACTGTCTCTACAGACCCAGGTAACTCACCTTCTTTCAGATTTATAAATAAAAAGTTTTTATTTATAAAACCAACATGCTTCCCACTCCCAAAATTATTAGTCACATGCAACAAATATTTGACCGTAATAGCAACACACTACAGTGAGCACTAAGTTAGCCACCCCAACTAGGAGTTTGTTAGAGAATGTTAGGTAATTTGATCATGATAGATTCCACTGAAAACCTTAATTTACTTATATCTTATGTTAATGTAAAAGATATGAATATGAAGTCATACTCATGTGTATTAAATGAACATACTCAGAAATACACACCTGGTTCACTTTTATTTACCTTTTATGTGTTTTGCATAAGCCTTTAAACTTATTTGCACATCATCAGTTTTACCCTATTACATATGAAATCAGAACTTTTTTTTTTTTTAAAGATTTATTTATTTATTCATACAGAACTGGGGTACAGGCCAGAGATGCAGATGGTGAGAGGATTCACCAGAGACAGAGCGGGGAGCAGAACAGGCAGATCTACGAAGTACACTGCTGAGGGGAGCAGC